TACACAAATGGCTGCTGCATGGTCCTGTGTCTCTGGCTGGGTGTAGCTACAAACTTTTCCCACAGTAGCTGGGACAGTTTGGATCAGGCTTGTCGGGTCCCTGGCAGATGCAGCTAAGCAAAACTCTTTTCCTGAATTGTTGTCACTGTATGCCGTGGAAAAGCAGCGTAGAGAAATGGGTCCAGGTTGTGAGGCAGAACAAGCAGGAAATCCCAACTGTCTATACCAAGTAGCTAGAGTATGGCAATGTCTTGTGTAGGCTGTGAAAAATGACAGGTCCTCTGTCAGTCAGATGCATAAAGTCCTTGGAGCTGGAGAAATTGTCCGGTTGGATGGCATACGCAAGTTTTGGACCTTTGGCATGGAGAGGTCCAGGCAGCCCTGATTGTTGAAACAAGGCCAAACTCAATGTTGCTGCTATTGCCTTGGACACTCTTCTGGCTCATCAGTTTGCAAACACTGAAGGAGCTGATTAAGGGAGGGCCGTGTCATTGCCTTACTGGGACCTGTCTTTTGCTTATCTGTCCTTCTGGTTGCTCAGAGCTATGCCACTTCCCCACAAATTACCGACCCTTATCTGCCCAAGTCCTACGCAGCAGGTGATGGACACAGCTGATCAGCAGAGCACAGCTGACTTCTGTCATTGGTGTGAGAGTCCCGTTCCCCCCCCCCTCCTGTGGTCCAGGACTGTTGGCTCCAGTGCTGCCGAGCTGATGCCTGCTCTGTTTGCTGGCCATGGGGGAACAATGGCCCCAGGAGTTTGAAGGACTGCTGCTTGCCTCCTTGTTTGAGTTGAGCTAAGTCCAATTTGTTGCTGAACTGTAGCCCTGGCAAAGCCAAGCCCTGATCTGGGGGTCTGGGCTCATCCAGTTGCTCCTTGCGGAAACCTGCACATGGATCAACACTGATGCTTCTATCCAGGTGTCATGGGCACTTGAAAGCTTCCCAGTATCAGGGTACTCCTGCCCATTGCTGGGGGGGGCATTGCTTCCTCAGGACACGCTTACGTGACTTACACCACTTCCCTGCATGCCGCTGCTTGTGTTTTCTGCTATGGTGACCTGATTTTTGCCTCCCTTCTCCTACAGAACAGCCTGCAGTAGATGTGTTCACCACAGCCTGCGTGGTCTCTCAACAGCTGGCCGGGGAGCTCTGCTCTGCAGGATGGTGCTGTGCAGGTCCTCAGGCTCCCAACACTGTACACCTTTGGGAAATGCAAGTACAGGTGCAGCCTCTCACTTAGCAGGAGCATGGCCATATATCCCTATGCTTTTTTAGCTGGAAAGCAGCTGCAGAAATAGTTTTTGGTTTATGGTAATGATTTGTGGTCCCTCCCCTGTCAATAACACCTTCGGCAGCTGCCCTGTGCTCTCCATTACATGCTACACAAGCTGCAGTATGCTCCGTGGCCAAGTTGGCCTCTCTCTGAGGGTCACAGCCCAGTACCTGCTTTCCTTTTCCCTTGCATTCAACTGTGCCATTGTGATTCCTCCTGAGGACACCCCGGCGGGAGCAGAGCTGACTGGGCATCAGCCTCTCCCGACTGCTGTCCAGCACA